CTACTGGGCAGGTAGGTTTTACTGTGGGGTAAACTAGAAGAAACTCCCCTGTATATAGTAGTATAATGTACTAGAGAAAACTACAGTGTCTCAACGGGAAAATCCACAAGACAAAAAGCTCTAATAGGACTCCCCCATCTGCAAAGAAAGAGAGACTCCAGCACCCAAGCGAGGAACACCACATAGGGAGTAAAGTGGAAAGAAGACAAAACCCATCCCTAAATGTACCAAGGGAGGACTAAGGGTACACACAGAACATAATTGCTATCCCTGTTTACCTTGGCACCACACTAAGCTGGTGCAGGGGTGAGATATTAGGTCCCACACGTTGTAGGAGAGATAAGGGAGATGAGGGAGAGATTAGGGGAGGAGAGATATATCTGGGTGTCATCGGCATACAGATGGTAGCGGAATCCAAAGAAGTTAATGAGTTTGCCAAAGAGGCAGTATAAAGAGAGAACAGAAGGGGACCAAGAACAGATCCTTGGGAGACTCCAACCAAGACAGGGCAAGAGAGGGTGTCATTGCAAAAGGAGACACTGAACAAACGTTGTGAGAGATAGGAGGGGAACCATGAGAGGACAGTGTCACAGAGACTGAGGGATTGAAGAGTTTGTAGAAGGAGGATATGATCAACAGTGTCAAAGGGGGCAGAGAGGTCAAGAAGAATTAGTATGGAGTAGTGGTCTTTGGATTTGGCTGTGAGTAGGTCATTTGTAACTTTAATAAGAGCAGTCTCAGTAGAGTGGAGGGGGCGAAAGCCAGATTGAAGAGGATTGAGGACAGAGTTGGCATTTAGGAAGTGAGTCAAATGAGTCTTTCTAGAAGCTTTGAGAAAAAGGAAGGAGGGATATGGGATGATAGTTGGATGGGGAAGACGGGTCTAGGGATGTGTACGACAGTAGCATGCTTAAGGGAAACAGGGACAACACCAGATGAAAGTGAGCAGTTTAGGATGTGTGTTAAGGATGGTACAAGACAAGGGAAGATAAATCTGATAAGGTGGGAAGGTACTGGAGCAAGTGGACAGGTGGTGGGACGAGAGAAGAGGAGAAGCTCAGCCACCTCCTGTTCTGTAGTTGGGGAGAAGGCCTGTATGGTAGGGAAGGTACAGTACAGGTGTGGTTGTGAGAGGGAGGAGCAAAGGGGGGGGGAATTCTTTCCTTAGCTGTTCAATCTTGTCGGTAAAGTAGCATGCAAGGCTATCGGCTGAAAGGTTAGTTTGGAGGGTGGCTTGCGGCTTGAGGTTGACGAAAGAGAAAGTTATTAAAGAGACACCTGGGATTGTATGAGCATGAACTAACAAGAGAGGAAAAGTAGGATTGTTTAGCAAGGGTGAGGGCTGTGCTGTATAAACACAATACGAATTTATAATGGAGGAAGTCTGACAAGGTGCGGGACTTCCTCCAATCAGCGTTCTGCTGAACGGGAGCATCTCTGCAGGTAGCGGGTTGACTTAGTGTGACAAGGTTGGAGGCGAGTCTTCTTTGAGGTGCATGTTAGGAGCGGGGCTGCAGCATCCAAGGCAGACGTAAGGTTCTCTGTGTACCCTTTGTCCTTCCTTGGTACACTGAGGGATCTGTTCTGTATTCTTTCCACTCCCTCTGAGGTGTTCCTCGCTTGGGTGCTGGAGTCTCTCTTTCTTTACAGATGGTGGGGCAGCTTTCTTTCTCATGGATTTTCCAATTGAGACACTGTACCTTTCTCTAGTAGGCTGGATATTATACGGGGGGGTTTCTTCTGGTTTACCCCACAGTAAAACCTACCTGCCCAATGGTGGATATCATGAGGTGGCTTTCTATACAGCAGTATGAGTAACTGTTGGACTCCACATTTTCCCTTCATTCCCTAGACCCAATTAGGCTTATACCTTTAATATCAAGCTATTTTTGCCATTTCCTTTTTAACATTAGATCGCAATAGGGTTCTTTTTAAGCTAACTTTTCCTCACTGTGCCCCTTCCTTTTGCTCTCCCTATTAGTTGAGTGTATGGGGAATGTATTATCTTTCTATTATAGTTCCTTATATATTTCTTTCTCTATACTTACACCATACAAACTTTGATATTATGAAAATTACCACAGTTAACAAGTTTTTACATTGAGTGTCTATACTTACCACTTTTTCTTCTGACATTTGGCCATAAAAACATTTAAAACTGCACTGACAACAACAAATGCTTTTTTTTTAAGCATATCAAAATTGTCTGCCTAGTCTTACAGAATTTTAAATATATTTTTTAAAAGTCATCAAACCACACATTTTTAATAAATCATCTGAGCTGGCATTTTACAATGTGCACAGTATGTACTAAAAGTCTATTCACTACATTGCCCCAGGACATTGTTAATGAGACAAAACAAGATAAATGGAATGTATATTAAATTAATCAAATTTCTAAAGTAAAAGTTGTCTTGCAAAATATGAAAAAGCATGGGCACTGAAAGATACACTCTAAATATAACCATCTTTTATCCATACACAGGAAATGCAGCAAGGAACTTTCTGCCTTGTCTTAATTAATTAAATTTATAAATGCTGCATCTTTTTGCTTACCACATATACCCACAGCTATGTTCAAACTAAATCATAAGTTATATACTGTATTTTTTTTTCATTTCACAAAAGTCCCACCTTTCCTTAAAAAAAAATAATAATTAAAAACAAAATTATATATATATAAATATTTGCTAAAATTATCAAATCTAATTATGTAAAAATTAAGTGGAGTAAACGGAACAATTAAATGATCAGGTAAAACTTTTGGTTTAGTTTTTTTTTTTTCTCATTTAATAGGACCACCTTAAGGAATTCTATAGTAAAAGAAGCCTCATTAAGCAGGAACGTCACATATTCTTCTCACTCTGTCACTATGTCCTTTAGCCTTTATATGGTAGTTCCACTTTAGAAGCATGACATTTAGATTGCTGACAGCTGTTTATGAACTAAAACAGTGACTTCTTTGCAGGAATGGATACAATCTGCAACCCAAAAGAGAAAAAGGACAATATTACCTCACATTGTAAAATTCCCTTTTTGGGATAATTGTTTCATTATGTTTAAAATTACATTAAAAAGCAACAAAACGAATTAGTTAACAATGCCATTATGTAATAAAGGCCATGCAACTGCTAGTGGGTTTTTTTTTTTTACGGAGTTTGCATGGTTGTATGTTTAATTTGATATATTGTGATATTAAAGATGCATTAATGAGTTTAATGTAACAAAGATTAGTTAGATTAGAAACAAAGGAATGTATGTAGAAGAGGATAAAGATATGGCTGACTGACTTAATGAATATTTTTGTTCAGTATTTACAGATGAAAATGAAGGAAAGTAAGTTAGGAAAAAGGACCAATTAGTCATTTGTTACATGTGAGTTTACAGAGGAAGAGGTTCTATTTCAACTGTCAAAAGTAAAGACAAATAAGTAGATGGGGCCTGATGGGATACACCCAAAGTTATTAAAATAGTTTAGTGGTGTATTAGCAAAACCATTATCGGATTTATTTAACCAATCATTTTTTACCAGGAATAGTCCCAGAAAATTGGAAATTAGGCGGAACCAAGCAGCACACTGAACTAGACGCCATTTTCAATAGCTCCAAGCACGCCACAGAAAAACTGACTATAACATCGACAGCAGGTGTTCTACCGAGGCAGCTACACCACCATCATCCCTGGGAAGCTGTTCCGAATCGGCAGATGCCATTCAGTTTTCCCGCAAGTCTCAAAACTCGACGGCCGGGAGTTCTGACCTACCGCGTGGGAATTCCGCGGGTGCAGAGTGCAGCATACTGGGGCTATCCGGATACGGACGGTAACTTACCTGCAGAAATCCTCGATCCAGCTTCCGAGGAGTCAGACATTTCAACACATGTTCTCGGCAGAACTAAATCTGGTCAAGATAGAGGTGCAAGCAGTGGCAGACAGGGTACAAGCTGCAGAGGAATACATGCTGGACTTTAAACCAGGGCTGAATACTCTGGGGGAGTCTGTCCAGCAACTTAGATCATTACACATAAGTCTATCCACCCGTGTGGACCAGCTAGATGACAGGGGAAGACAGCGCAACATTAAAATCCATGGGGTTGCGGACTTGCTCCCACCGGAAGAAATTCCCCACTTCATAAGGTGCCTAGTCACATTTATACTGCCAACAAAATTTGCCAAATAATTTGCTTTTGACTGGGCATTCCGCATCACAAAATCCTCCCACCGCAGCTCCTAGGGACCTAATCCGGTGATGTCAATCCATCGCTGACAAAGACTCTTCACAGCATTAAAAGGGAAAACCATGCTTCAATTTGAAACACACAGCATCACCTTCTTCCATGAACTCAACGGGCCCACACTGCTGTGGCGAAAGTCTGTGAAGCACATCACTGGAGCCCTACAAACTGCAGGACTTTCTTACTGTTGGACTTACCCCAGATCCATCACCTTAGTCCATGAAGGGAAAACCTTACGGGCAACGAGTCCCACAGAGGGTCCATCCTGGTCTGCCTACCTCACAAAGAACATCATCCACTCATGCATGCAGACGTCATTCTCAAATGCTCTTCATCTCATGACAAGGGGTACATCATGTCAGCAGTGAGGAGCAAGACACCACTCTCTTTCAAGGACTCACACTACAATGGCATAAATCCCTTAGCAAGATTTCGCACCACCTACGCACAGTCGACATGCTATACAGATGGGGAGCGACTAAATTCTTACTAGTGACGCACAACAGGACGACCCATACAATCACCTCGGCAGCAGAAGCACCAAATCTCCTCTCATCGCTGGGACTGTTGGAGTTGACTTTAAGCACAAACCCACAAGCTTCAACCAGCACCTGGGATCCGGCCACAGTGGTACCCTTCACTCCAAGGGATGCAGCGAGAAGCCGACTTGACACTGCCACCTGACTATGACTGGTGCCGATGCTGCACCCAATTCGTTACTCAATTTGTTACTCTGTTATACATTTTTATGTTCATTTCTCTTATTTTCTTCTTTTTTGCTTTCAATATTCTAACTACAGCACTACTACCCTGACAGGGCCTTAGACTGACACCCACCATATGTGGGGAACAACTAAGTACACAAGATAGCGCGATGGGATGTGCAATTGCTCATGTTGGCAAGGCATATCCTCCCCCCCATTGCTGCCCCCTTGGTTAGGGGTAACACTCAATGCAAGGGCAAAGTCCCCTCTCAACACCTGGGCTTCCCCGACTTACGCATCCCCTCTAGTTTAATCCACCAACGACTCAACAGAACCTCACATATAGTGTTCCAAGCCCTGCATAACTCCAAAAGGTTAGACAAACATATTGCATCAACATCACACACCTACCTTACCACCACTTCCTACACTAAATCACCATGTAATGCCTTTCATCCTAGCCCACAAATACTCACACAAATATAATAGTTATAGTTAACTATAAACCAATCCTCCTAAGTTGGACACACTCCAGTGTTATTATCTGACTGATATATTGCTTGAACTACAGACATGTTTTCTACTGTTCATATATTTCATACCTGCACTACAAAAATAAAGAATTAAAAAAAAAAAAATTTCAGGAAGTATCACTTTACTGAGAGGGTAGTGGATGCACGGAATAGCCTTCCAGCTGAAGTGGTAGAGGTTAACACAGTGAAGGAGTTTAAGCATGCGTGGGATAGGCATAAGGCTATCCTAACTATAAGATAAGGCCAGGGACTAATGAAAGTATTTAGAAAATTGGGCAGACAAGATGGGCAGAATGGTTCTTATCTGTCGTCACATTCTATGTTTCTATGTTTCTAAATGCATATGCAATCTCTATACTGAAAGTCACATTTTCTGTTTGCAAATCATAAAAAGTGTTAAAATAACTGGATACACAAATTTATAGGATATACTTCTAATAATTATGGCTCTGTGTTTTATAAATATATAAAACAATCCAATATTCTGGAACTCACCCAAAGTAAAATAATAATACCAAAATAACCCGGCTGCTTCCCAGCATAGATATAGAGCAGTGAATAAACAGAGCACTCCACAGGATTTTTTTAAAGTGTATATTGAGAGAATCAATGTTTCGACCCTCCTTGGACTTTATCAAGATTAATAGTAACTGGTGCAGTGCATAAATATATAACAAATGATAAATGAGTGACTTACCCTAGGTGTGTTATAGTGCTCATCCGTGCATCCAGACCCGGACGTGTGATGATAGAGTGCGCATGCGCCGACGTGCGTGCGCGTGATGCATGGTGACAACATGTGATCATGTGTGAAGGAATGCTGTAATGGTTAATGTGTATGGTAACCATGGGAACCTGATCCCCACCTCGTAAAGAGTAGTGGAGAACTGTAAAAAACAACACAGTGGACAGATTAAAGGCACAGAGCCTAGAGAGCTGGACCTCTGATACCTATTGTACCAAATGTACATATATATATATATATATATATATATATATAGGAAATATATCCAAGAGACCAAATAAGTGCAAAAGTGTAAAAAGGTGTGTACAAGACTATAGAATATTCAATAAGAGGTAGTAGAAGAAAGTTTAAAAAAAAGTGAGCAGCCGTGCAGAGTGTAATAAACAAACAAACACACAAACATAAAACGTGTAATAAACTAAAGTGAATGTGTAACTACCATATAAGAAGTATGTGCTAAGAGTGGCGTGACAGAGAAAAAAATTAAGAAAGAAAAGAAAGAAAATAGAGAGAAAAAAGGGAAATAAATAAATAATGTGGGTCAAAGTACCATCACCACTGTACATATATAGAAATAATAGTCACAATAATGTGTAAACTGCTCACTGCAAAAAACTGCAAATAACAATGTGGCAGGTGGTCCAAAAATAGAGAAAAATGTAAGACAATATATTAATACTTATAAATGTCCAAACTATAGGAAAAAAAATATTTTAATTTAGTAAAGAAAAAAATCAACCGATGCTGTTGTCAAAAATAGACTTTGAAATATACCAAATCACCATCCATCTTTATCTTGTTTATCTTGTTTCCAAAAATGAGTTGAATGATATGTATTCATTCAAACCCTTAGGATCAATAGTGTCCAGTTTACGCATCCAAAAAGTTTCCTTCTGTAGGAGTAATTTAGAGCGATCCCCACCTCTCGGTAATTGTGGTATCATATCAATTCCCATAAATTTCAACGTTGGTAATCTATGTTGGAATTGAAGAAAATGTTTAGCCACAGGTTTGTCGGTTTTCCTGTCTCTGAATGCAGTCATGACATCTGATCTATGTCCTCAGATTCTATCCCTAAGTGTAAGATAAGTGTTTTTCCCATGTAGAATAAACCACAGGGAGAGGAGATCAGGTATACGATGTGGTCAGATTGACATGTGATGTAATGGGAAATGGTATAACACTTGCCTGTATGTGGATGGGCGAAAGTGGTTCCTGACGAAATATGTCCACATGTGACACAATCTGTGTATCTGTAGCATTTGATGTCTTCTTTTTTTCAGCCCCAAAAAAGGCCAAATAAAACGTGAAATTCCATCGCACTTTGAAAAAAAAAAAAACCAGAGCACAAAAGAAAATAATCCATCTTCACCCATGGAGGGTTCCGCGCAGACTGAGCTCATTTTACACAGCATGGGAAAGTATCCAATCAGAGTGTTTTTATATGTCAAACTACACAGCGTGATGAGGCTCAGTCCCTGGCGCTGCAGTGCTCAGTTACTGATGCCATTATGGCAGCTATGGTATATCTGTCTTTGCCCTCTCTCAAACCATCTCCCAGGCCTTAGTCCACGTCTGCTGGATGCAGGAAGTTCGGGTTCAAATATGTGCCAAGCGCATTCTAGTTTGGACCCTTCGGGTGTACGCACCCAAGAAGGCTATTGCCAAATCTAGGCATTTAGCTCCCTCTGACTCCAGAATCCCTATCACTGGTGAACCTGAGATCACCAAAGAAAGCATGTCTCAATCATGCAAAAGAGCCTTTCCGTGTCAGGCAGAACGGGTGAGAATGTGCTAGAGCATAACCTGAGAGCGACTCCGACTCAGAAATCGAATCTAGTGAGGAGGCTGGTTCTGAGTCCTGCAGTGACTTTGATAATGATAATGATTCCTTTGATCAGGGCCTTGACCTTTTGACCTCCGTTCAGATGGAGGCGGCTGTGAGTGGATCTCAGAGTGATTCCCCTGCAACTGAGGGCTCCACTCTCCTGGATCCATCGCGAGAACCCTTAGTTCGACCTGGAGACCTGGGTACGGCGCCCCCCCAGCAAAGCGGGCCAGAGCAAGGTGGCTGAATGCCCTTTGGTGCCCAATAAAGTCTGTGAGATCCAGGTTGTTTACCAAAAAATGACCCAGTTCCTAACTAAATTGGGATGGAACCCACGTAAGAGTTTTGGATTCGACACTAAAATTGTGCCAAGATAAGTATTTGGACATCTTTGGTCCCATTGGCTAAGCTCTTTTACCTGGCAGAAGATGCCTAACAGGTTGACCTGGAATAACTCTGTGGTTGGTTGCAGAGGGCTATCTGCATTGCAGGCAGTGTCAATACCTCACTGTCTATAGAACAGCGCAAGGCCATTATTTTTAAGATTGAGCCCAAATTGGCCAACCTCACCCTCATGGAGGAGGGCAAGGATGCCCAGGGCTTTTTGTTTGGGGACTCTTATAAAAGACCTGGGGCATTTTATAGGGACATTTAGCTCCCTTGATAAGGCCCAATCCTCCATGAAGATTGTATTTCAGTGATGGGTCTCCATCTGCCCGACCGTAACTACTTCAGTCCCCGTGGCTCGGTACTAGGCTCCTTTACCCACCATACCCCCTACCAGGAGGTGAGAGGCCAGTCACCCTTCTTCCCTTCACGTGGAAGACCATGGCGAAGAGGCTTCAGAGGAAACTCAAGCTGCAGACGCCCTTATGGTAAGCTTACATATGCCTCATGTTTCTTCTCAGGTTTGTGTACGAGGCAGACTCTGTCATTTTTTCCCAGCCTCGTCAGCCATCACCTCCGATGCTTGGGTCCTAGGCACCATTCAGGAATTCCACATAGTGTTGGTTGGTACCCTTGCCACATTCCTCCACCATGCCTGATCTCATTCTCCCTACGTGATCGTGAGTTGATAGGTGAAGAATTGTCGGCCCTTCACAAAAAAGGGATGATAGAACTGGGACCCGCAATCCCTGTAAAGGTCTTCAGCAACATTTTCATGGTGGAAAAGAAAGGCAATTAGATGCACCCCATTGTCAATCTGCGTCCCCTCAATTCCTTTGTGCGCTACCGCCACTTCAAGATGGCGCCCACCTGCCCACTCACCTGCCCACCCGCCTGCCTGTGCCTGCCGAGCTGCAGCCAGCCACACTGGACCACAGTGAAGAATCAACTCCAACACTCCCAAAGGTAGGGAGGCTGGATTAATTGAACATAAAAAAACAATTGTGAGTGTGTTTGACTGTGAGTGAGCGTGTTAGTGTGTGTTTGTCAGTGAGAGTGTATATGTATCTGTTAGTGAGTGTGTTTGTGTGTGTGTGTGTGTCTGTTAGTGAGAGAGTGTGTGAGTGTGTCTGTCAAAGAGTATGTGTGTATGTCAGTGAGAATGTATGTGTGTCTGTCAGTGTGTGTGTTTATCTGTCACTGAGAGTGTGTGTCTGTCAGTGTGTGTATGCATGTTTCGGTGTGTGTATGTGTGTTTCAGCATGTGTATGTCTGTTAGTGAATGTGTATGTCTGTCAAAGTGTGTCTGTTAGCTACTGTATGTGTCTGTCAGTAAATGTGTGTGTCTGACACTGACTCGGTGTGTGTCTGACACTGAATGCATTTATGTCTGTCAGTAAGTGTGTATGTGTGCTTGTCAGTGTGTATCTGTCAGTGAGTATATTTGTGTCTCAGTGTGTGTGTGTGTCTGACAGTGAGTGAGCGTGCATCTGTCAGTGAGTGTGTATGTGTGTCTGTCAGTTAATGAGTGTCTGTCAGTTAGTGTGTATGTGTGTCTATTGGTGAATGTATGTGTCTGTTTGTGAATGTAAGTGTGTGTAACTGTGAATAAGTGAGTGTGCATGTCTGTGAATGTGTATGTTTCAGTGAAATTGTGTGTTGGTTAAACAGTGTGTGTGACAATGACTGTATCTGTCAGTGAGTGTATGTTGGTGCATGCATCAGTGAGGGCGTGTGTCTGTCAGGAAGAGAAATGTGGAGGGGGGAGGGATGCCCAAGTTTTGTCATGCCTAGGGCAGCACAAAACCAGAATACACCACTGAGTTTAGTGTTCATTTTCTGAGCATTTGCCGTTGGAAGGTTAAAGTGTCCTGATCAGTTCGGTTATTTGTAACCGTACTTATTATTACAGAAAAAAAAAATTAACCCAATTATTGTCTTTCAAAATGAAGGCTGGCATAACATGCACAAGTAATTTTTT